AAAAAAAGCAATATTGCAAACTCGCCCTGTTTTACAGGTACAGTCCTAAAAAAAAGGGGTAAGTTTTCAATATAACGTTCTTTTCAATCGAACAGATCCACTAAAAAAAATGCTGCAAAACTGTTTGAACGTACCTTATTGGCTTTCGCGAATATTCTGGAACGTGATTGGCTCCAACTCCACGAGTATCTATTTCTCTTCAACCGACTTCAGTTTGCAACTTGCCGTCAAGCACATTCAACTCGAAAGACCAACACTCTGAGCATGCTAGCGCTATCCCGCGCCGTAGTGGGTCGCCACGTGCCGCTGCGCACGCCATCTCCCGCTCTGTATCTCGCACGCCGCGGCTTGGCCTCTATGGGTCAGCCACAGACGTGGATCAACCCGCAGAACGTGCCGCAGGGGAGAGTCTCAGGAAATACGGTCGCGATCTGACAGAAATCGCCAAGGCCGGCAACTTGGACCCTGTGATTGGCCGCGAGGACTCAATCCGCCGCGCCACGCAGATCTTATCGCGTCGCACCAAGAACAACCCGATTCTGATCGGAGAGCCGGGCGTAGGCAAGACGGCAGTGGCCGAGGGCCTCGCACAGCGCATCGCACTGGGCGAAGTGCCCGACAGCCTCAAGGACAAGAAAGTCGTGGCTCTAGACTTGGCCGCGCTCGTGGCTGGTGCCAAATTCCGAGGCGAGTTCGAAGAGCGACTCAAAGCCGTGTTGAAAGACGTGGACGAGAGTGATGGTAACGTGATTTTATTCATCGACGAGCTGCACACTCTGGTAGGAGCTGGAGGCAACGAAGGATCCACCGACGCCGCCAATATGCTGAAGCCAGCGCTAGCCAGAGGCGCGCTGCACTGTATGGGCGCCACCACGTTGGACGAGTACAGGAAATACATTGAAAAAGACGCCGCGCTGGCCAGAAGGTTCCAGCCAGTGTTAATCTCCGAGCCCAGTGTGGAAGACACGATCACGATTCTGCGTGGACTGAAGGAGAAGTACGAAGTGCATCACGGCGTGAGAATCGCCGACAGCGCGCTCGTGGCGGCTGCTACGTTGGCGAACAGATACCTGACGGAGAGGAAGATGCCGGATAAGGCCATTGACTTGATGGACGAGGCGGCGTCGAGACTGCGACTGCAACAGGAGAGCAAACCGGAGCCCATTGAGAAGCTGGACCGTGAGATTATCCTGCGTCGTATCGAGATTGAAGCTCTGCGGAAAGAGACCGACGCGGCGTCGAAGAAGCGCATGGCTGCGTTGGAAGAAGAAGTGAAGAAGGCGACGCAGGAATTGAACGAGTTGATGGACGAGTGGAACGCGGAGAAACACAAACTGGAGGAGATGCAGGACGCCAAGCGCAAGCTGGAAGAAGCTCGACGGGACTTGGTAGCAGCGCAGAATGCTGGTAATTACTCCAAGGCAGGAGAGTTGATGCACTCTGTGATCCCCAAGCTGGAAGCCGAGGTGGCTCATGACGAGCAAGAGGAAGAGGAGAGCAAGAAGTCGGGAAAGAGCAGAACTTCACTCGGAGATGCTGTCACAGCGGACCACGTAGCGGAAGTTGTGGCTCAGACGACGGGAATTCCAGCGTCGACACTGATGGAAGGAGAAAAGCAGCGCTTACTGAAGATGGAAGATCATCTCAACCAGCATGTGATTGGTCAGGAAGAAGCTGTCAAGGCTGTGAGCAACTGTGTGCGTCTCGCTCGAGCTGGACTGCACGCACACAACCGTCCATTGGGAGTGTTTATGTTCCTGGGTCCTACAGGCGTTGGCAAGACGGAATTGACCAAGTCTTTGTCGGAATTTCTCTTCCAGACGCCACAGGCTTTGACTCGCATCGACATGTCCGAGTACATGGAGAAATTCAACGTCAGTCGTCTCGTGGGCGCTGCGCCAGGCTACATCGGCTTCGAGGAAGGCGGTCAATTGACGGAAGCTGTGCGGCGCAGACCGTACCAAGTGGTTTTGTTCGATGAGTTCGAGAAGGCTCACCACGACGTGAGCAACATTCTGCTCCAAGTACTGGACGAAGGTCGGCTGACGGACTCACAAGGTCGTCTCGTGGACTTCCGCAACACGGTGATCATCCTCACGAGCAATCTGGGCTCGGAGATCCTCGCTGGACTACCTGAAGGCGCCCCTAGCTCCATGGCTGAGGCTGATGTTCTGAACGTTGTACGCTCCCACTACGCTCCGGAGTTTTTGAACCGTATTGACGAACTGGTTCTGTTTAACCGGTTGAAGCGCGAGGATATTCGTGCAATTGCGGATCTGCAACTACGTCAAGTGGACCAACTGCTGGAGGAGAAGGAACTGACGATGAAGGTCGATCCGGAAGCGGAGGACTGGCTGGCTGAAGCTGGATACAGTCCACTATACGGTGCACGTCCATTGAAAAGACTGATTCAACAGTATCTGCTGAATCCCATGGCGGTCAAGCTGCTGGAAGGCGCTGCTGGTCCCGGTCAAGTCTTGCATGTCAAGGCGAACCCCAAGTACGAAGAGGAACTGGTAAAAGACCCAAAAACAGCCACTCCGCTGCTCATTTCTGTTGACTAACGACAAAAAAGCTGTTGGAGCGCAACTCATTGCCAATTATTGTTCTTAATTAAAATACGATTTTGTTTGATAGCACAGTTTGCGTGCAAAAACTGACAGCTTTTGTATGCATCGACAGGTAAAGTGGCAAACTGGGCAAATACTGTACATGTGACCTACGCTATTCCATGGGAGGGTATGCAACTGATTATCAGAAGAAATTAGCTATTACTTGAAGTAGCATTTGGCCAGTTTGGTGGAACGGGTATGGGCAAAGGTGCAAGTCGTGGGAAAAATGGTGCTTCCATGCAGATTGCCATTCTACAGAATTTGTAGGACACAGCGTCCCCTTTTCATGATAAAACAGGACAGGACGTCCGCTATTCTACATATGCAAAGATGTAAAACACTGGGTTTTAGTATACGACACATAAAAGCACTATTTTTCCCAATTTTATAGGACAAAAGTCCTGCCTTCACATTGTTTT